GAATGAGAACAAGTGGCTAGGGTTCCTTTTTTTTTGTTTCAAACTTTTAACTCCTTTGGGCTTGGGTTCTTTTCCTTTTGTTTAAGGCCCACTTACCCAGCCCTTCCTTGTTAAAACAAGCCAATAATAGAGTTTCGTAATTGGCCCAATGATCCAAAACAAGTGTCGCATAATGGAAATCTGTACTAAATGTAACTTGATAAATAACTACACGCTACTAACTCACCACTAAAACTGTAACAATACACACTAGTCGAGATGTCACACTTAAATTAAATAAGATCACTGATGAATCAAATAAAAATAACAATGAAATAAATCAATAAATAAAATCCATTTTGTTATAAAATTTCTCGGAACTCGGGGCAAGCTAACCTGAGTAACGCGGGGCGTTACATGCTCTCACTCAGTCGTCCATTCAAATGGTCCCTTCTTTCTCAAGACTTTGAAAAAGGGAAGGCATTTATCAATTGATCTCGAGACGAATCTATTTAAGGCTGCAATCCTTCCATTGAGGCATTGAAGCTGCTTAAGAGTTTTTGGTGCTTCCATCTCGAGCATGGCCTTTATCTTCTCTGGGTTAGCTTCGATCCCACAGTTGTTTACCATGAAACCGAGGAACTTACCCGAGGAGACTCCAAACGCACACTTGGCTGGATTGAGCTTCATTTGATACTTTCGTAGAACTTCGAAGGCTTCAGTCAGATCGGAAAGATGCGACTTTGACTGCTTGCTCTTGACAAGCATGTCGTCTACATACACTTCCATGTTCCGACCGATCTGCCTGGCGAACATCTTATTCACCATTCTTTGGTAGGTCGCACCTGCGTTCTTTAGGCCAAAGGGCATAACCTTATAGCAGTACAGACCTTGGTCTGTTATGAACGAGGTATGATATTGATCTAGCGCATGCATTTTAATTTGGTTGTATCCGGAGTAGGCATCCATGAAGGCGAACAGCTCGTGCCCGATCGTTGCGTCTACGAGCTGGTCAATCCTCGGCAGTGGGAAGCAGTCCTTTGGGCATGCTTTGTTTAAATTTGTAAAGTTTACGCACATTCTCCACTTCCCGTTAGATTTTTTAACTAATACAACATTTGAGAGCCACTAGGGATACAGAATTTCTCTTATATATTCAGCTTTTAAAAGTTTGTTTACTTCCTCAACAATTACATCACTCCTCCCCTTATTTACAGGTCTTCTCTTTTGCTTTACAGGTCGGAATGATGGGTCTATGTTGAGGCGATGCACCATGATCTTTGGGTCTATACCCAGCATGGCTTCGTGGGACCATGCAAAAACATCTGAGTTGGATCTGAGGAAGTTGATCAGTTCTTCCCTATCAGTGGCCCCCAGCTTGGTTCCTATGCTTACTTGTTTCTCAGAACTAAGTAAAGGAACAAGCTCGAGCTCTTCTGTTGGTGCAGAGAACTCCCTTTTGCCTTCCCTTGGTAGGTCGGCCTCTAAGTCTTGCTCTTCAGCACATTTGGCTTGTTTTTCAAGGGCGCATGCCGACGACCCTTTTAGTGCAGAAGCATAGCACTCCCTCGACATCTTCTGCTCTCCTCGGACTGTGCCCACTCCATTGGGAGTTGAGTACTTCAAAGCTTGGTGAAGCGTTAAGGGAACAGCCAGGAATGAGTGGATGACAGGTCTCTCAAAGATAGCATTGTAGGCCAACCTCCCGTCGATCACGACGAACTCGGCCATCTGCGTGACTTGTGTATTGTCCTGCGCAATTGTAACCGGCAAGTCAATACATCCTTCTGGGGAGACTAATTCCACCGAAAATCCAACCAAGGTGTTGAACTCTTCTTCAATTATGCCCTGGTCCATCACAAAGCAAGATACATTGTAAGAGACAAAATATTGGCAGATGCACCCCCATCTACCAATACTCTTCAAACCAGGACGTGATCGATGAGAGGTGCGATCACAAGTGCATCATTATGGGGCAAGTGGACCCCCTCTAGGTCGGAGTCATTGAAGGTGATGGAGCAGGTCGACTTCTGCTCCCTAATGACGCACACCTCGCGTCTGGCTTCTCGAGCCAATTCCTTTCTTTTGTTTCCAGACTGGCCCCCACTTGGGCCTCAAAAGATGGTATTAATGACCGCAGGTCGGTCATCTCCGCGAGGCGGCGTCCTTGAACGCTTCCTCTCATCTTTTTTCTCTTCCGAGTTGGACCTCGGCTTGCCAACAAATTTTTTGAAATAGCCATCTTGAATGAGGTCTTCAATCTAGCATTTGAGTTCCCAATAACTCAATGTATTGTGGCCGTGGTCACGATGAAAACGGCAGTATTTGTCTTTGTTTCGCCTTTCTGGGTCTCCTCGAAGCTTCTCAGGTCGCTTGAGGAGCTTCTTCATCCCATTCTCTTCAATGTTTGTAAGTATTTCTGAAATGGGGATCGTGGTTGGAGTATATCATTCGTAAGGTCAGCCTCGAATGGAACCGTCGTCCGACCTGCGAGAATCAGTCCGGTTGTTGAAAGAAGATGATCCCTTGTCCTTAGACTTGGAATCAACCTTACCTTTGTCTTGGCCGAACTTCCTTTGGTCGATCTTCTTCTCTGATCGGCCGGTCTTGGTCCGAAGAACCTCTTGCCCATCAATAACTTTTTTCACCTTTTGCAAGACCTCGGCGAAAGTAGTTGGAGCCTCCTCTCCAAGTTTCACAGTAAGGGTCTCATCGGCCAGGCCGGTGAGAAAGTAACACATGGTCGAGTCATCGGAGCAGTGCGCGACCTTCAGCTGCTCCTCCTGGAACCTTGTGACGTACTCTCTAAGCATCTCACCCTCCTTTTGTCTGATGGTGGCGAGGTAAGTCGTCGTTTTTCTGTCATAGTGTCGAGAAGAGAATTGACTAATAAATTATTTCCTCAGCTGTGAGTAGGTCGAGATCGACCTTGCCGGCAATCTTCTGTACCACAAGCGCGCGCTGCCGATAAGCGCGATCTGGAAGGCGAGTCATTTAATGGCATCCGTTGCCGCTTGAAAATCCATGAGGCCTTCAAAAACCTCAACATAATCTTTTGGGTCCCTAGACCCATCATATGGCTTCATAGTGGGAGTTTTGAACTTTGGAGGGATTAAAGCCTCCAAGATATCCGAGGTGAATGGCGATTCCCCCAGGTCTTATCATCAAATGCGCTCCCTTTCACCTCGCACCTTGCCTTTAAGGCTTCAACTTGTGCATCAAATTTGCTCTTGAGCTGGTCGAACTCCTCCCTCGTAATCATTCCCTCAGGAACTATTGGGTTGTAAGAGGATTCGGCCTGCTGGTTGGAGTTCTTGTGCGAGCATGCCAGAGTTCGTCCTCTTCGGAGGGACGAGCTTCTCTTTCTGTTAAGATGATCGCGGATATCGCTCTTCTGGCTACTATACTCCGCATTTTCATTGCCTCTGGGGTACTCCTCGTCGACTAGGTCGAGGTGAAGATCCCCCTATTCGTGTACTCCTTCGTGCACCACTTGGTCCTCAAATCGGGACCTAGCACCAGAAGCTTGCACCATCTCGTTATACATCTCTTCCATGGTGCGCATCTGGGTGCGCATTGCGTCCATCTCTTTTTGAAGGGCATCGAAATTCTCCTTAGTAGGAGCTGGAGCCGGAGCTCGAGTGGCTCTCCTGGAGGCACCACCTCGGCCACGATTGACCTTAGTTGGATTAGGATGCGCTGATGGCAGAACAGGTGTGGTGATGCGTGCTGACCTACGGAGCTGTTCGGTCCCTAGGCCTTCTTGAATCTGACCTTCTGCCCCTTCCGCCCCGACCTCTCTTTGGTGGCCATCGTTAGCAGCTAGAGCTCTTCGGTCTGCTGTGTTGGTCGAGTTTGCTGGTTGAACCATCTTTGTTTATGTTTCTTAGATCAGGATGACTTAAATTGTCCTTCCTCACAGACGGCGCCAAATGTTTATGCAAAGAATTGCACAACGGTGTTCACGAACCTAGCTCGAACCCGGTCTTTGGCTTGACTTGAACCGTGGAGTGAACCTGCACAAGAAGGCAAACTCTCCAAATTGAAGGACAAAGAAATTCCTCTCGATTGTCTCAATTTGGAATTGGTTCTACACCTCCCCAATAGGAACAAAAAAATTCTTGAGCACTTCTCCTGAAATGATACGATTTGCTAAAAGTTTTTCGCGAGACATTGATTTAGTTGATGCTCAATAGAAGCTGACGCCTCGTGGTCGATGTCCACTGTGATTTCCTCCTCACAGGATGTGGGTTTTAGCTTGTTCCAATCCTCCAACAGATCCAATGACTCCATTAGGATATCAAAAGGAAACCCCGAAAGAAGAGGAACACAGATAAACAGATTCACCAAGAACTTGAAGGGACAGTCATAGACCGGGTAGACCTCTCATATCGTGGTAGAGAGGAAGACCATACCTTGAACAAAGTTTTTCAATTTCAAAATAAATCAAAATTGAAAGTATAGGAATCCAAATAATATTTTAACCTTATTTTTACCGCATTAAAATAACCCCAAAAAAAATCATACCATGGAATCTCGGAAAAGATTTTAAAATTACAAAAATACATATATATATTCCCCATGCTGTTGGTTGTCCGTCCATTAAAATAAATGGATTAATAAAATGTAAAAACGACGGTCCAAAATGTACAAGTTGGAACCTTCCGATTGACACAGCACAATTATTGATTCTGTTCATTTCATTTAATTATATGAACAAAAAAAATTCTGATGACAAAAAAGGAAAAAGAACAAAGTTTCCGTGTGACGATTGACATCAATTATTAATAGAAACTGTCCCACGTTGAGAGAGATTATTTTGTTTTTGCAATTTGGTCCCACAAGAATATAGCATGTGGCACTAAAGAGAATTTCCCTTTTTTGAAAGGCGTCCAAAATAAATTTTAAAAAATCCACTTATATTTTAATCGACTTTTAAATCATTTATTATAAAGGGAAAACATAGTTTTAGTTCTTAATCTTTCTAATGTTTGTGTTCTTACTTTATTTTACTATCGGAAATAACAACAAAAACTAAAAATATTATTGTTGAGACAAATACATTTTAGACCAGATTTACTTTAAAGAAATAATAATCCGGAGATGAGATCAATTCTTTCATTCGTGTTTATCAAATGAATGGAATCAAATGGTAAGATACACCTTGAACTTTGTAATCTCATATGTAATCTCATATCTCTCCAACAAACTCATCAATCTAATTCTTATTCATTATCATGTGAATTCTATACTTGTTATAATTACATTATAATTTGTACCTCCACTCCTCTGTGAATGAGACTTATAATTTTTTTAATCAATCGTTTTATATTATTATTATTATTATTATTATTATTATTATTATTATTATTCATTTATACTATTAATAATTTTTCTTTTAATAAAAATTTATACAAATTTTATTAGTTGAGGTGATTTTATTGTAAAATATAATAAATCTATTTTTTAACTTTTTAATTTTATTTTGGTATTATTAATTATTATTAATAGAATTTCATTATTATTAAATATTAGAATAATAAAATTTAGTAATATTTTATATTAAATTATGGTTGTTCTGATAAAAAAGTATTTTGGTTGATGTAATTTATTTTAATGATTCATTATTTATTAATCTAACCATTATTATTGCAATTAAAAAAAAATTAACACAATAATGTATTTGTAATTAGGTAGAAAGAATAGAGTGTATATATATCTGATTTCGATCATGATTCTAAACAATTTTAGTAAACAACAAAGAATTCTAATTCCGATTCTAAAAAATTTCTATCATCAAAGGAGTAACATTCTCAATTGATTTTGATTCATTCTCATTCTCAATCCTTTCAAGTAAATAGGGTCCTTCGGTTTTTTTTTTTTAGGTTTCGAAATTAAATCACTTGAGAAATAGCATACTTGAACAACATAAGAACTGAGGGAGGTAATATTTATCTTGTATATATATTTTGCAATTTAATTTTAGTTTTCTAGTATAAGTACTTTCAAGCTTTACCTAATTTTGCTTTTTGAATAAAAAATTAATATCCATAATATTCTAATTAGTTTAATTATGGTTATTAATTTATGGATACACTATTTTCACTCTTTGATATATTACTATAAAGAATTTATAAAAACTCAATAATAAAATGAAATTCCTTTTATAAATATTTGACTCTCTTTCGTGAAAATTAAATTTTAAAAAGTTTTAGTTATGGTGTAGTGGTTATATATATATATACTATAAATTTTTTTGGACTTATTTATAGTGGAAAATGACAATACATGGACTGAATTTTCGCATATTACTTCTAGATTGTTTTGTAGTCTTTTTTTTTTATTTATTGTATTGGATTGTTTTGATTTTATTTTTTGGTATATTTAGTTTGGTTTGTAGTTGATTTTCATTTTTTTTACCGTTTTGGACTGTTTTGTGTATTGTCAATTGTTTTGAGATTTCGTATCGATTGTTTATTATATGTTTTTTGGACTAATTAAAATAGTTTTAAACTTATTTGAATAGTTTTGGATGAATTTGGACTATTTGAAATAATTTTGGATTGATTTGAATACTTTTTTTAACTAGCTGGGATTCTTTTGTTTGTTACATTTTTTATTTTTGGTTTTTTGGTTTACTTCGAGAGATTCAATCGTTCCATGATTACATAACTAATTATTTTATAATTAAATTGAAACCCATAATTATAAAAATGGTTGAAAAGAGTTATTAATTTATTTAATATTTAATTATTACTCAATAAAATAATAATGTAGTTATTATACTATTATATTATATATCATTATCTAATTTTTTTTTTAAGTTTTAACGAAACTATGGATAGGCCCTTAAATTT